GACACTTATATAGTGCACCCTGTATATCAACAAAATTTTCAAATCATCGATGAAAACAGGGGATCAGCTTGCGTACAACGAAGCCTTTGTGCTCTCGATTCTAAGTTGTCGAGTCACTGACAGTTTCCCGACACACCATAGAATTTTATCGCAACGGTGCCACCCTCCGGCACGAGCGGTAGCTTCGTACCTCCCATCACGTTTCTATGGGTCCAGCAGCCCCTTTTGTGAGCTTGTCACCCTCGTAGCGTCGAGGCAACAATGAGCACAGCCGCACTTATGGTTACGCTCTACGTGCTGCGCCAGCTGATTATTTTTTCACCGCACAATTACCATCCCTGCCGTTTCATTTGCCTCCCCCATCGCGGCGTCCTCGAAACCTCTACCCTTGAAAACTACGCGCCAGCGAGCCGCTGGAATTGTGTTCCCTGGCAAAAAGCCCTGCTATCTTACGAAAAATCGAAAAAAGGGAAGGGTAGGAGACAGACGGAACAGACTCCTGGAAAGAGGTCATTCCGGCTGGCTGGATAAAGTTTGTTTGACGACAATATTGCCAGTTTTTGGTTGACCGCGAAACAACGGACCGTCCATGAAGCGGTATATTTGTGTTTGTAAGTTTACACAGGACCTCGTTGCTGAAAAAAGCACGCGACCTGTTTTCTAATTCTTTTCTAACCGCAAAACCACTTTATGCTTTCTTTGAAAAATGTAGTTGGTTTACTTTCGGACATTTTTGTTTCACCAAAAAAAAAAATTAATACTTTATATAGCGTGTAGTATAGGTAGAAATATAATAATTCTTCAATTTGATGCAAGTATAGATTTCACATAATTAACTACATTGAGATTAATTTAAACATAAATACAATTTAATAACAAAATATGTTATTGAAAATGGAATTTTACGAGGAAAATTATATTTTATTTAATGACACTTTAACTTAATGACACTTAACTAATGATAATTTAACTTCAAAAACATTAAAAATATCCGGATTAACCGATTTGAAACAACTCCGATAATAATTATCTTTCTTTTATCGCATATGCCAATAGAGTTGCAGCAGTATTATCATACTTTTATCAGAACATAATCACGTTAACAGCTGAGATAAACAGCAGTTACAGTAATAAAGATGGTAAATATTATCTTTATTTATGCGACGGTTCCGGGGTGCTCTTTGAATACGCGCTAAAGTAGGGAGGGGGTTGACCGCATGGAGGCGCCACTGTCGCCTTAGCGGCGACAGGTGTCCGTGGCGCTCAGTATCGCGGCGACCGCTCGGGAAGTAAGATACGTTGCCGGTACCGTGTCCTTTTCGTTCGATTCTCTCTGTTTCCTTCTTCTTTTCGCGTTACTTCGTCGCGTGACTATCGTCAGTGTGTGTTTCTTAACGAGTGTCATACGCGACCGCGAGTAAAGGTGACGCGCGTTTCCGTGCGCGGGAAGCGCGCGTGTCGTTCGCGCTCGCACGGCGTGAGTTTTTGTCGCGCAGACTCCGATTCGTTTACTGTATATACTTTTCGTTCGTCGTGCCCGGCCTTTGTCCATCGAAAAATCAAATATTAAAATCAACGAACGACATGAATGGTGTTCAAACATTGACTGATCGGAGTCACAGGTAACGTGAAATTTGATTTACTATTTTGATCGTACGCTTGAAAGTGACATTAACGGAACTGTCATTGTGGCGCTGTTGTTGCGTTTTTTCATGATACATAAGACTTCTTTTACGCGGCAGAATCATATTTCCTGTTGAACTATCAAACTTAATTGAAATGTAGAGTACTTTTTGGAGCATCAACGAAAACGTGCGAATTTTGACATATTGGGGTTAGGAATCCTTTAACGTGGTTCGATTCCACCGTTCGCCGCGTGTACCTAATAAATATTGGCGCTGCGATTGGTGTATCGATCCTGTTCCTCTGGATTGCTTCAAAAATAGACCAATCGCATGCGTCGTCTTGTTATATTATATTTACACGTTGGACGGTTTTCTGGAAATGGCGCGAATTTGTTAGAACTTTTCATGAACCTTCGAGTCCAAGGTTCCGTATATGTAACGAAAGTCGACTGACGTGCGAAATTGACAGAGAAAGCAGGAACGAGGTACGGGAAAACTTGGCATCGGTTTGTAAAATAATGGAATCGTTCGGAGTAAGCGCGAAAACATTGGTCCACGGTGGATTTGTTGATTCAGACGAGTTTGGAAATCCTCTTGGGCACGATCTTACCTTACGATCGCATCTTGATCGTGAATCTTTCGTCGACTACAGGCACGATTACATTCGTGGCATGGCGCAGACTCGTTTTCCCTTCTATCTCCCTCCCCCTCATTTCCCTCCTTCCTCTTCTCGCACTGTTTCCTTTTCTCTTTCACCTTTTCCCTGTCTCTCTACCTAACAGTTCTCCATCCCTTTTTCTCTTTCACTCTTATTCCCTATTTCTCTCTTTATCTTCATCTCTTTCCTCCCTTTTTCTCTGTGCTGCACCATCGAGCCGGTTCGCAGAGGAGCTAGCCCGTGCAACGGCCAAGAACAATGCGAATTCGAGAGGTTGACGAGACGGGTTGGCATGCGTTGATAATTGACACTTTGTAAATTCATTCCACTCGAACGACGATTTTCTCGTGATTCCACGATTCCTCTCACCAAACACGAAACAGGATAACCAGGCAACTCGCATTTTCATCTTCCTCTTTTGAAGCAGTGATGGAATATACGCATTTCGTTTAATGTTATTCTTTTGGTACAGTATAAATGAGTCAAGCTGCAGTTCTAAAATAGTAGATGATAGATACAAAACAGAATATCAGTGGGCATAACTAAACGGTGTCGAAGTGAAGGCGTTTCAAACATTTCAAGGTCATCTTCAGTTTTTTAAACGGAATTGTATATTTCTTTTTACCCGTGTTGATTCTTTAAAAAACGAATGACATGAATGATATTTTGAAATTAAAATATGTTACATGATGCTCCAAATTTTTCCATCGTTCCTAACATGACCCAGTTTCGCTAGATACCCTATATATCTATGTCTGAAAGTTAACTGTTCACAAAATTTTCAAGCCCATATGATAGAATAAACAGGTGTAAATACCTTAATTAATACGAGTAATAAGTGCTAATAATGATAATATAAATAATTCAATTTACACTTGTTAAGTGTTCTAATTACTATAGACGTAAATATCTTGATTTACATTCATTAAAAACTTTAATTACCCTTATTTACACTTATTAAATACCATAATTACACTCATTTATTTAGCGCAAGTACATGAGTTCTATAGACAATTTTATTTCTATAGCATATTCTAAGCATTTATGATTTTCAAAATCCCTCTTATACTTTATAGAAGCTAGTATCTCGAGTACTATTTTAATTTCTTTCTTTCAAAGATTTATTAATGAACATCATACTCAATTAAATTCCATCGCCAAATCTGTAACGTATTTACGTTTCACGTGTAACTGCTTTCTGATACGAGTTAATAAAATCCCGATCTTATGGTTCAAGTGTTCGTAACCTTGACGATAAATGAAAACAACTTCTTCCGTTCCTTCCAGTTTCGGTCGACAGGCCAACAGAGACGAGTGAAAGGAAAATCTAAAGGTCGTCGACCGACTGAAAACGACGTGGTTTCTTATTCACATGGACTCTCTCGAAGTCAGAGGTTGTTACGGTTCCAGCAATGTCACTTTCACGCGTAAATACTAAAATATATCGGGTGCCATTTACATCGTTGCCCCTCGTTCTATCATATTCCTCTTAACGAGATCAAACGGCAAGGCAACAAGATCAAACAATTTATTAGATTGTTGTATATCAAATGGTGGATTTCGAAAGATATGGGAAGTCTGATGCGATTCGATGACATAAAGGTACCATAAAATGGCACTTAGGCCATATCAATTTGGAACGGGGTTGTAAAACTATTTGAATAATTTTGAAGACGAATTTTTAAAGAATTTTGAAGATTCTAGAGAGGATCTTCACCAGCTTTTTCTGTGGTGTCATTTTCAATATTATAATTAGAAATAGAAATAGATGCTTAGAAATAAATAATAGCTATTTGAATATGGGACGATTAAAGATTTAAAAGATCATAGTAAATTATGCCACTTTTTAAATGCACATAAGCGTGAGAAAATATTCAAATTTGAAATAGCAATTCAGAAGGCGTAATGCTAAAGGTGCTGAGTTAATTTGAACAGTTCAAATTGTATCACAAGTGCCATTTCGTATCACTTCTATGGCATCGAACCATGTCAAACTTCCTACATTTCAAAATCAGCGATCTGATATCCGACAGTCAAATAAAACAATATTTCATTTATCGATAAAAGACTGAGCGTCAACAATCATTCACGTTACCATTGTAAACCAATTTCCAGATACGCATACTGAAAGTCGAGCGATCGATGGAAGAGCGCGAAAAACTAGGAAGACGAAACATCCGAGTTTTCTTTTCTCGTCACGAACCTCCGTCGACGGTCTGACGAAAATAAATCGGCAGCTTTTCACGTTCGTTCATCGTCAACCTTCCCCTCTCTCTCTCTCTCTCTCTCTCTTTCTCTCGTTCACAATAAAACGAAGAAGACGGAAACGTGGTAGAAGAAAGAGAATATCGGTTCACCGCGATCAAGGTATTCACGTGAGCTTCTGTTTCGTCGTCAGGGCCGGGTAGACGCGAATGGAACTTGAAGAGGAAGAAAGAGACGAGGGTAAAAAGGAAGGTACCTAACCGTGAACGAGAAAGAGAGGATAGAAGAGCCAGTCGAGGTTCGTTTTCTCGGGTTGCAACCGGCAAACTCGAATGAAAATAAATCGGCGCTACGACGAACTGGTTCGTGCGTTCGCGTAAAGCGGTCGTGCGGTCCGCCGTGAGGCCGCGAGCGTAAAACACGCCGTTTGCGTTTCTCTCACTGTGTGTGTGTGCTCGCCTTGTTTGGATCGAGGAAAGGAAAGAAAGGCTTATATCGGACAACAATCGGCCATAAACGGGCCGAGAAACAGACGACCGGCGAGATGTCTCTGACGTGCCGAGTTCAGTACCTGAATGACGTCGATCCGTTCGCTTATGCGAGCTCCTATCCGGAGCCACCTAGACCTCCTGTGCACACCTTCAGCGCGACCTTGCCACTAATTAACCAGCTCGCAGCGGTGCATCGACTTCTTCGGGCGCCTCATAGGGTGAGTTCTCCTTCTTCTCTCTCTCTCTTGCACCACCGTTTCTTTTAATTCATCGTTTATCGAAGGATCGAGGGCGAATTAATGGTCTATCCAGATTGCTATATCGGGATCCTTCGAAAGGATAACTCATCGAATTTTTTTCAATACACTTAACGATGTTCTTGAACGTTTAATCCATTAAGGATCAGATTTTTATTTAGTTTCTTTTCAAATTTTAGTTTCACTGGCGTAACTAGCTGGGGGCCTAGATCTCCCCAATATGTGGAAGCTTTTCTAATTCAAATAATTTTAAAATATCATAAGTGCAAAATTTGAATTTTTTAGAACTTACAAATCTCAAATTTACAGAGTTTCAGAATTTCGGAGAGGTCTAGCCCATCCCAGAATAAAAACCTAGTTACGTCAATGATTTCAGTTAAAATTATTGAAATATAAGAAGGAATCATAAATTATGATTCGTTTAACCATTACTCACGATCCCTTCGATAAACAACGCGGTATGAATAGCTACGAGAAGAATGCAGCACTAGAGTATTTGAACAAATGTTTCTCGATAGCAAAAAAATATACCACGTGTGCTTGTTTAATAATGCAAGCAAATCCATCCATAAAGGAACCTTACGTTGGAACAGAAATTTTTCTTACCGTGATACATGATTCACGTTTAATGTAGCCCCAAGATCACTGAAATTTTCCATAAGGGGCTGGATTCCCTTTTACCTAGACCCGGCCTTATCCCACGTTTCATTGTGGCACAAGGTGCACGGAAATGTATTTCGATTCCCGAACAAAAGGGAACGAAATAGCAGAGGGGATGAATTTTTCCTTCGTTCGTATTAATATTTATGAAATCCGTTCCGATACCAGTCACATAATTTATGCATAAAATTTTCGAATACGCGCTTCGACCTTGCCATGCTCGCAGAACCTCCCTGACGGAATATTCAAATTAACTTTTTCTTTGGCAAACGCGAACTTAACGAGAAAGTACCAGCGCGGCGGTTCCGTTGAAAGGCCACGTCGACTTCTATTGTCGCTTCGAGCGTAATAACTAGACGGTTACGTTTTTCCCTCGTCAGATTGTATTCTTTCATATTTCAAAACGGACGACACGGAATGCATCACGCTCGATTTTATCGCTACACGTTTCGTTGGAACGGTCCCTTTTTTGTCCACCTCGAACACGTTACCCCTTTTTTAAATCTCTTTACCGACGTGCCTTACGAAGCACAAATTACGATTTTACATCTTAACTAGCTGCAGTCTTGGGAAACTTTGATGCAAAGTATCGCACGCGATATTTCTTTAATTTAAGACATTCCCTTATCAACGTTTTTTTTTTATCGTGTTAGATTAAATTCGTTTTTGATATGAAAACATTCGGCCTTTGATCGTAGATTTCTTCGAAGTTCGATGCTATCATTCGATCGTCTATGTTATATAAGATTTAAACCGTAACAGTTATTATTAAGCGAAAATTCGAGCGCGTCCTTAATTATTAACCAAACAAATTACATGTAATAAAGCTCTCTGTTTCAAATCATCTTGTACCATTACCATAAATCTGTCAGGTGCTTTAAAATGATCATAGAAGTTACCTTAGAATTATAGTAGAACGATCGATGAATCAGTAGACGGAGAAAAATCGTGAGATTCTTCGAGCAAGTTCAGCCGGGGTAATTCTTCAAAATTTGTTATTAGCGGTTCGCCAATATTGAAGTTGCACGCTTCTCGAAGTCCCTCGACCGTCTAACTATTACGAATCGATGTTATTAAGAAGCCCGCCAATGGAGAAATATAGTACGCCTATTACGACACGATCGGCGGACGGAGAGATCATAAATTCCACGCCGGAGTAACTATATTCGCTAATGGGCATGATCTTATGGATCCAGGGATTCTGCTGTTCGCTTTCTTCGCGAGCTGATGGCGAACGGTTGCATAGCTGTTACGTGTTTCATTCATCGGATCGCGCGAACGTGCTTTGCGTAAACTCGAACCCACACGCTCTCGATATTCCTGAATAGGCGTGAACGTCCATTAGTAATTGTTATTCATTCATTAGTCATCAATCTATTTTGAATTTCATACCTACTACCAGCCGCAAACTCCTTCGATCCGATTCCAATTATATCAAACTCGTTCAGTTAATAATTTAATCAAACATTTCCAACTTCGTCAATATATAGGAATCTAATTTATTAATTAGTATTTCGGTAAAAGATGATATGAATTTTCTTTCTTATTTACGGTTAATTATGTACAATTTAGCCTTTTAAAACTTTCAAATTTTTAAATTTCATAAATCAGGAGCGCGTTAAGATTTTTGGAACCTGGGATTATCACACCTTTGAGGATCCCTTAGTTGACAAACTAGGTTGAAAAGTTGAAAATTAATCCTAAACAGAAAGGCAGCAGTAAAAATATTGCATTGAATATCTTTTTGAGATAGTAAATAGAAAGTTTATAATGGAGCTCTTGGATAGAAGCTATAACCCCCATTAGACATCCTCTTAATCCGACGCTGCCGACCATTCAATATGCGCTCGTTATGTCTCATTGACATCATTTCCACGTCTATCGCAAACATTTAGTTTATCAAAGCCGTGCATTACTATTGTTGCAATGCGTTTGGAGGGTTTTACGATCGAACGGGATGGCTTTCGGTAGGCGCGTGACACCTTTCCGTTGCTTTGCTTTGACACGCAAACGGTCGGGTTCATTCAGCCAATCGTATGTTCAAAGAGGCACGTACATATGCGTATAACAACGACAAAAGGGTTAGAGTAAAATAGAAGAACATAGAGAGTGAGAAAGTGGACGGGTCACACGATACGAGCGCAGAAGCGCGACGGGCATACACGTGGTTCCTTTGTTCGTGGCACCGTTTCTGGAACAGCCCTTCGGCCGCAACTATTCTCATGGAGGCCCGCTCTGTGTACACGGTTAAATGCACGATTACTGCAGTGTCGCTGAAACCTCGGCTGGCCACCTTCGTGACTGCACCACTTTGACCCAATTGCGTCGACGCGACGCGGTGTGTCGCAACGTTTTGCGATGCTCGAAACAGCCCCGTTACTATTCCTTCCGCGTTCAACCGAACCTGCCACGGCTTGTCTCGCCGAGGGTAATCGTAACTTCGCGAAATGTCAATCTTCCAGCATGACATCCTCCCGATTAACTTGCATGAACTTTCACCGATCATATTTATCGTGTTCCAACATCGTATATACTTACACCTCGTTATTAGATTTCCTCGACCATGATGGTACGAATGATCGATAGATTTCGGTAAATCTTCAAAATTTTCTTTGGCATTTTTTCACTTTTTGTAAGAATATTGCTTAGGGTTCAAAAGAAAAAGAAGACTAAAGTGTTGATGTGAGGTTTGCGTTTTGAGGTTAAGTTTCTAGCACTCAAGTATAAATAACGATGCACGGTATTTGTAACTATGTTAAGGTTAATTAATTTGCATAAAGAGTGATATAAAGCAAGGTAGATCTGCTGCCACAGCTACATTCTTGTACGTACAATGAATGTACGTATAGTTTTTAAAATCGGTCCGCCATTAGAGTCATAAAAATGGCGAATTATTTGATATATCCTTGTTTTAGTTGTAAATATCATTTTCCATTTTTATATATTTTGTTATACTTTCTTTTACCCTTAACATATAGTTTGCTTTTCTTTCCCTATTTTTTATAAAATTTTTTTATAAATATTTGTTCCACCTATTTCGCTGGAATGATACAATCAAAGAAATTCAGCCCAACGGTAGAATATATTGCGATACGCTTAATTTTAAAATCGTTTCGTACGATGGTCACCGCTTCCGAAAGCGTTTCGAACGTTCCGCAAGATGCTGGTCGGTTCTCTTTGGACCCTCCTTCGGCAGTTCGCCGACATAACGGGACCACGAAGCGTTGCTCTCTTGGAAAAGGAATAAAAAGTACGTTTATGGTCTTGGCATTATATACCTATAGGTACCGTGCGCCGGTGTACCGGTTATCTTGCGAACACTGGTAGGTTCTTCCCGTGTAACGCTTTTACCTGTCCTTTGGTGTGGTTAAATTCGGCCTCGCCCTTTCGAAAGGTATCCTTCACGCAGCTTCCCGATGCGTTTCATGCAAGACCGGTTCGATCGTGGTAAAAGGAGAAAAAAATTCGCGATTCGATCGTGAGGAAGTTTTTTGAACGGATTCGCATCGCGTTTCACACATTGGAGAAAAAGGGCCAAGTGTACAGGGTGTCCCCAAAGTAACTGAATGAATTAATTACTCGAAGGTAACTAAAACAAATTACTTTTTAACTAGTTATTTTTTTCCATCCCTAGTGTTCCAGATTTCTGCTCGAAACAATGCCAGCATACATTGCTGTATAAAAATGTAGGCTCATAAATATTTTACCAAATGTGCAAACAGGAAAGAAATAATTATTTCACAAATTTATGGGCTGTGATCAGTAGTACAGTATTGTATGCAACATTCGCGAAACGGTCTTTTATATTCTTTGCATATTTTGTCTGTGTTAAAGCAGTGCTGCATTCCGAATTTACGAGCAGCTTGTACTCAGAAGCTGAAATTTATAATATGCATTCTCTCGAATTTATTCCTCGGAAAATGTAACGAGTCGCGAAACTGAATTTACTCTCGCGTTCGCACGTGATTATTTTTTATTTTTTTCAACGATAAATATTATAATCTACCGGTGAACGATTACATTGCTGTTTGAAAAGTGCTTGATCATTCTGCTTTCACCGTGATCGACGTGTTGACTTTTATCGTCTCAATAATTCGATGCCTTCTCTGATAATAATTGTATCTGCTTTTTTCAATGGAAAAGTGTTTATCCTTCGCTGTTACATAAATTTGCGATTCAAATATTTATTTAAGTGTCCAATCAAATATTGTTTTATTTTGAACACACTCATTATAAAGGTACCTTGTCTTTCTTTTCATTATAGTATCAAGAAGTGTCTCTAATTTTATTTTTCTCAGGCG